TCTGTGACAAGGTAAGGACACAGTTGTCATCATGGAGTTATTTACTGAGTTATGTCCTCTCTTCTCTCCTCGTGGCATGCCTAGGCAAGGCTCAGGCAAACCACAGCCTGGCTGCAGGGAGAAGACCAGGCAGATATTTCCTTCCCAGCCCTTGCTCTTCTCCACTGGAAAGCCGGGTATGCGATGAAGTGGGACGGCCCTGGCCCAGGGTGGTGGCTCACACTCCAGATCTAGAGGGAGTCTAAATTTTACCTCTAGCCAGGAGGCACAGTGTAATTTTCAGCAATGGGTGGGGGGATGCTTGGCATCAGAGAAGTGGCCTCAGAGCAGACACTGAGGACGAACAGCAGCTATGGCTGGGATAACTCAGTTTTCAACTCACGTGGAAATCCCTGTCCTGATATTGTGTGTTTCGGACAGGATTTCATGTGCCCCAGTTTGGCCTCCAACTTACTGTGAATCTGAGAATGACCCTGATATTTTATCCTCTTCCCTCTACCTCTCAAGGGCCAGAATTACAGCTGTGTACAGCCTTACATGCTGGCTTCTTTTGAGTCAACTTGACACAAGCTAGAGTCATCAGAGAAGAGGGAGTCAACTGAGAAAATGCCCCCATAAGACCGGGCTGTAGGCAAGCCTGTAGGGTATTTTCTTATCAGTGATCCATGGTGGAAGGCCCATGTTGGTGGTGCCATCCCTGGGCTAGTGGTCTTGGATTCTATAAGAAAACAAGCTGGGCAAGCCATGAGGAGCAAGCCAGTAAGTAACACTCCTTCATGGCTTCTACATCAGTCTCTGCCTTGAGATTCCTGCCGTTTGAGTTCCTGCCCTGACTTCCTTCACTGCCATATAGCTGTGGTTAAAAACAGTGGAGCATTATTTAACATCAACTTCTGTGGACATATTAAACTTGACCAATTTTATTAGATCTTAACAATTCAGTAAAAACCCTTTTGATAACTATATTAAAAGACAGAATACATATTCATAAAAACCCACTGCTGAACTCCTTGAAGCTATGACTAAGAGCATATGCATTATCATCTAATTTGCAAGCTGAAGTAGCCACTTGTTTTCCAGAGAATGATTTTGCTTGGGCAAAAAGCAGTGGACAAGGGCCTGGAGTGTAGGTGGGTCCGTTTTCAAAACTGTCATGCAAGTGTGAAGATCTGACTGCGGATCCCCAGAACCCACATAAAGTGGGGCAGAGTAACCCGTGTCCAATCCCAGGGTGCCTACAGAAGGATGAGTAGTGGATATAGGCCTTCCCGGAAGCCTGCAGGCCAGCTAGCCTATGCCACAGTGATCAATGAGACACTGTGTTTCAAACAATGTTCAAGACAAAGATGAACAGCTCAGGCTACCCTCTGACCTCTGCACACCTGAACTACAGACAGTCACATGCACACTTCAACAAATGGACAAATAATGTTTGGCAGATATTTTCTCAGCAAAATGGGCTGCAAGGAAAACTAAACGTCTCTATTACTGATGATAAAATCCAGATTTCACAACCCTTTCCATTCAATACTCGGTGCCTTTCTGAACTAGAACATTCCAGTTCCCTCAGATATTCTTCTTGCAGCTCTCCTCTCTTCTGGCATCTTCTCGTGTGTACCTATGTGAGGGCCGATTCTCTACAGCTACTGAAACAGTGTACTGAATCACACCGGATGCAGAAACAGACCCAAATCTCCAGCTGTGTTTCATTAAGCCTCATGTTAAAGATACCTAGGAAAGCGTAACACAATGTCCTTCATAAAATTCTACTTTATTTTTGGAAGATATACTTAGTTTTATTTTCATAAACATGCTATATATGCTAAGGTATGATAGATTAATTTTGAAACGAATAAAGAAATATTTGAAAAAAAAAACGAAGAAGCCTGTCATTGGTGGTGCACAGCTTTAACCCCAGGACTTGGGAGGCAGAGACAGAGGCAGGCAGATCTCTGTGAGTTTGAGGCCAGCCTGGTCTACAAGAGCTAGTTCCAGGACAGGCTCTAAAGTTATAGAGAAACCCTATCTTGAAAAACCAAATAAATAAATAAAATTTGAATGTTTCACTTTTCAGTTTGATGAAATATTGACAGACACAAGCTACATTAACAAGGCGCTTTGGTATCCTCAGTTGTTGGAGTCTTGATACCAAAAAGGTTTCAGCCTCTGTAGTATGGTATAATTCTGGGGGCACAAACCCAGAAACCCCATTTAGTTACAATAATTTGGACCCCTTTCCTTTAATAAGGTAATGATTAATTTAGAAAGAGCCTAGAGAATTCAAGGTAAGACTCTCTGACAGGGTGGAAGGTTGCTGCTGCCTCCCTTAGGAAGGACAAACACGTGTGGAACTCACTTGTTCTGGGAATTCCTTCTTGGGGTTTTAGGTATCACGTTGGGGTCCACAGGTCTCGCTGCCAGCAGCTTTTGCAGTTTCTGTATACCCATTAGCCTCACATTTTAGCTGGCTACCACTGAAGTCCTTTCTTTGAGCTATCTTGCCCACTCTAGAATGCAGCCTTGCATGGAATGGCTCTCTGAGGCTCTCTCTGAGGCTCCCTCTGAGGCTGCCGGTGATAGATGCGAGATCTCACCTATCTCCTTGACTCTCTTCGGCTCTCAGGCTCTCAACAAAATGCCAGGTATCAACACATGTTTCCCACAGGATTGCTCAGCGACAGAATAGGATGGAGACTTTGGATAGAAATGCTTCATTTACGCAATGCTTTCTCTCTACCTTACTGCTTCCTTTCTCTGAATGGCAGTTTTCTTGACGCATACACAGACCCAGGCTTCAGAGTTCAATGGATCACTGGCTTATCCCAATTTATCATTATGGAGGAATTACTTAACTTACTTGCACCGCAGTTTTGCATGTGGGTGTAACTAGACTGTTTTAACATAGAAGCATACAACAGATACTGGTATTGTGCCCAATTTCCCCCCCTTTTCTGTGGGATACTTAAAGATAATGATCAAAGATACATCAGCCACAAAGCAAAACACAAAGCACCCATTAGCCAGTGGAAAGTTGGTCCTGCTTCCGTCCAATTCCTTTTCCTCTCTATTCAGTGTATGGAGGGAGGAGTGGAAATTTGATCAACTGAAATATGTGATTTAAATTATTTTAACTAAACCATGACAATCTGATATAGCCAATTCAATTATTAACTTATGTTCAATACGGTTACTGTTGCCATTTTTCGAAGATTATGAAACTCAGTGTTGTTTTTAAAAGAACATTGTTTAATGTGTATGGGTGTTTTGTTTCCATGCATGTCTATGTACCATGGGCATGCCTGGTATCTGTGGGGACCAAAAGAGGGCATCAGATCTCCTGAGACTGGAGTTACAGATGTGGATGCCAGGGATTGAACTTGGGTCCTCTGGGAGAGCAGACTACCCTATTAGCTGCTGAGTCATCTCTTCAGCCTCTGATTTAGGAATTTTAAATAGCGTTCTCAGGCTCCCTCTCCCTCCAGTTTTTTTTTTATATGTATTTATTTATTTATTATGTATACAATATTCTGTCTGTGTGTGTATGCCTTCAGGCCAGAAGAGGGCACCAGACCCCATTACAGATGGCTGTGAGCCACCATGTGGTTGCTGGGAATTGAACTCAGGACCTTTGGAAGAGCAGGCAATGCTCTTAACCTCTGAGCCATCTCTCCAGCCCCTCCCTCCAGTTTTTGTTGTTTTGTTTGAAACAGGGTCTTTCTTTGTAGCCTGTTTTGTCCTTGAACTTGCAGCCATCCGTTACCTTAGCCTTCCCAGCGCCGGAGTTACAGGTGTGAACCATCATGCCTAGCAAGCTGTGAGGATGCTTATGCTCACCCTGGGGGAAACTAAAGGCTACTCGGTCTTGACACTTTCATATTCTTGAAGAATACTCTGGCAAAGAGTTTTCTGCTTCCTGGAGCCCCCTCACACTCCTCCAGACCCGAATAAGCTTGTAAAATAGACTGCTTCCCTAAACTTAGCTCCCCAGGATGTCATTCAAAGCAGAGTGTAGAAACTGATGACCATCTAAAGAAAGCATCCTTGAAGTTGTAACTGAATAGGTGAGTGAGTGCTCCCCCACCCCCACCAAGCTCCCGTGATTGAAGCCTTATGAGCATATATAGGGGAAGAAGACAAAGGGCCCCCCCCAAGGGAGGGTGAAGAGAGACTCAGAACTACAGGGTCAGAAGTACCCCTGTCTATCTGTCTAATTCACCCCACCTGAGTTAGAGAACTGTAGACATTTTAGACAGAAAACAGTCGGTGAAAATCTAAGCGTCTCTCGGAAGGCTCCCTGCAGGGAATGAGTCAGTGAGGCCTGTCAGGTGCAGGCTCCTTGTGGCTCCAGTCAAGAGAGGAAAAAGCCACAGGAGCGCCGTCCCTCTTGGAACAGGGAGTGCAAGCTTAGCTTAGCGTGATTCAGAGCTCTCCCCTGCTGGGCCAAAGCTGGACACCTGACTTGATCCACGTTAGTCAAGGTGACATGTGGACACACATTTCCAGCAGTGGAGCTCACGGCTGGGAGCTAGATTTTTCAGTCCCATTGGGGAGGAAATGGCACTGACCTTCCGACATACAACCCCATTATGGTATTGTATAGTTTCTTTGACAAGAAATCCCACTTCTTGGAGGGAGGAAATGGAAGGGGAAATGACATAGCTATAGTATAGTCTCAAAAAAGTAAAACTTTCTTTTCTTTTTCTTTTTTTTTTTAAAGCTATGTGTCTTCTGTAGTCTTTAAAAAGAGCTACTGCTGGCATTGTTTGAGAACATTGAGATAGAATGCCTTTATTACTTGTATAGAATGTCTCTCGCACACAATGCTCTTTGAAATTCAAGAGCACTAACACTAACTTAAACAGTAAAATAAAAATAGACTATATATATGTATATATATGTATATGTATATGTATATATATATATATATATTTCCTCCTCAGTTTTTTCAGAGCCGGCCATTTTCTCAAACACCAAGATGTGACAAATGTCACTGCACTGACCTGTCTGTCCTCTTTCTAGCTGCACCCAGAGCGATGCTGCTGTTTATCAAGTCTCTGCAAGAAGCCGCGAGGGGATGATCTGCTGTTCCGCATCCGTTGAGGTCCAGTGTCTGCAGGACACGCAAGTGTCTCCTGACCCAGGAGGTGCCAGGGATGTGGCGGGCAAACATGAAACAGAGAGACATGAAGGAGATGACATAAAGCACACAGACGAGAAACGGAGCCCTTGTAAGGGAGAAGAAAGTGTGGGGGGTTGCATATCAGCTGATTCCTCCCCCCACAAATCCAGCCACTCATGGTTGCCCCAGAGAGAGGCCATGTATGACTCTGGTGCTTCCAATTCTGAGAATCCTCTAGATGTTAAAGAGACAAGACAAAGGATAGAGCCGTACAATTCAAACAACACACAAGACAATTCCTTTCATTCAGATAACACTACTAAAAAACAGGATGTATGTCAGCACAGGACAGGGCATGCAACTGAGCCGGGGTTAACTGGTGGTGACCTAGGTAGCAAAGGGGCTAATGAGGAGGGTGTCACCCCTCGTCATCAAAACCCCAAAGCACAGAAATACATCAGTTTTAGTCTCCCGCTGCCGGAGGCCACCCTGTGTCCTTACCCAGGTGACAGCAACTCCATCACCGTGCAGCCTGGCCCACAGGTTTCCAGTGAAGACTCTGACAGTGACTATGAACTTTGCCCAGAGATAACCCTAACCTACACGGAGGAGTTTTCGGATGATGACCTGGAGTATCTGGAATGTTCCGATGTTATGACGGATTACTCTAATGCCGTTTGGCAAAGTAGCCTGCTGGGGACTGACCGAGTTTTTTTATTAGAAAGCGATGACGAAGAGATGGCATTCAATGAGTGTGGTCCGGGTGGGCGTGAGCATTTCCTCAGTGAAATGGGTTGTGGGCCTCGGGTGTCGGGTGACATGGGGCCTACGAATGCCACCACTGGCTTGTGTCCTTATCACTCACAACCCCAGGAAGTGGGGGTCAGGAGCAGCGGAGCCTCCAGGCAGAGTCCCTTACCCCTGCATGCAGGAATGACTCTTACTCTGGGACCTCACCAGGATGGAACGGCTAAGATGACCGAACCGGGGAGGGCTCCACTCCCTACTGCTTCCGAGGCTGTTGGACATGATTGTCCAGGAATTCGGGGAGAAACCAGAGACAACCCTGGAGTGGGAGAGGAATTCTCCAGTGACAGTCTGCAGACCATGGATAAGGCAGAGACGGAGGCAGGGGTGAGGCCCTCGTCTGGGGGGTTAGAAAAGTCAGAAGTGAAGCAGGGTTTGAAAAGCCTGGCTGGGGAAAGAGCAGATGAAAAGCATCCGGGCAGCAGAAAGGCTGCCCCGAGACCCACCAGGGCGAGGTGGCCCGGAATGAAGGCAAATGCCAAGAAGCAGCTGCTGAAAGACAATTCTCCAAAAGACACGCTTGATCTGCTCCCCAAGGGACCGACTAGACACCCCATAACTGGGAACTATGGACAAGAGCTTACACACACCGAGGCAGGAGCTGCTGGCTGGAATTCCCACTTCCATGCAGAACTGTGTATTCCGCTTCCTACAGAGCAAGACACCAAAACCCCTCAGCCACCGGCAGACCCACTTCCGAAGGAAGGGGACACAAGCTTGGGGAGAGGAGGGGAGCTGTTTAATCAAATATTTGAAGCAAGCCGGATAGCAGACCAGACTGACCATCTTCAGGTAAGACCTGCTTTGTTTTGTTTATTTTATTTTGTTTTGTTTTGTTTTCAAACAGCGAGAGGACACGTTTTGTGTATGTGTGTGTGTGTGTGTGTGTGTGGTGTTTGTCACTTCACACTCACAATTCTTGTACTATAGTGTAAATCAAAATAAATATTCCAGTGCCATCGGGGTAGTTGTGAATGGTGGCTGCTGTTTCGGCAGCTAGGAAGGAAATCTGGCTTTGACAGAAGGCCCAGATAAACCCTGAGCCGTCCTAATTATAGCAAAGGAGCGATAGGGTGAAGTGTACTAATGGGATTCTGGACAGCTGCGAAAGGAACCTGAGATTTTGCCTACGGCATGCATTTTACTAGGCAGTGCTCTGGTCTTCCGAGAGTCGCCTTTAAAGGGAGGGGGATCCCATTCTTTCTGGTTGTTTTTTTCAGGTGCACTTTGAAAACGGTAGACTTCGACTTTAGTCAGAACACATAATGCAAGTGGCAGGCTTTCGGTGGGACTGAAAAAAACTTACAGGATCCACTTGCCACACTGGAGAAAGGAGGAAAAGCTGATCTTGTTGTGCATGTGATGCAATGCTTTTGATTGGGCGTTTGCCTTATTTTTGCTTTCCTTAGACCATAAAGTATAAAAGAGGCCAAGAAAATGCCAAGAAGAAAGTGTATTGTCCCCTGATAATGATTTGGGTATAATTTTTAGTTCTGATTTGAAAGAGACAGAATTATAGGAATAATTAATGCATAGAGAATATTACGTTTCCTATACTTGTATTTTTAATTATGTAGTTTTATAATAGGCTTTGGGCTGATGATATGCTATGGACAAGATTTGGCTTTTGGAAACAAATGTCTTTAGGAATGTCTGTGTGTCCATATGTATGTTTGCACCCATGTATCTACTAATCTATCTATCATCTACATATCCATCTATCATAATTATTACTATTATTACCATTTTACTATACTTCTTGTTATTCCCAAGCTTGAAGAGACACTGATATTTCTTACTACCTGGGAATCTATATTAAAAATCTGGTATTATTTTTATAGAAAACTAAACACTCCAAAGAAATAATCCCTAATGCAAAGTAGCTGAACTTGATGAGAAGAAATAATAGACCCCAGAGCTCTGGATTCCTAAAGGTCCTGTCATAAAATAGCCAGAGTACAAATGTCCAGACCCGAACTCTAGAAGAACCAGTTGCTCTGTTCTGCTGGTGAAGTTGGCCAGATGGAGCCACCCTTTCTCCTTTCCGCTGGCAAACCAGCTTGGTCCATTGTGTTCCTTAAACATCCCATGGATCGGCTCACACACCATGGCCACAGGTCTATGCACATGACCGGTGCACGGAGGAACTTTGGCTAACTGCTAGTCTGAAGTGCCGGTTTTAACCTTTTAATGCCATAGAACACAGAATGTCCCTTTCTAGTTCAGCTAAGCACCTTTCTACAGTCACTTGTGCAGTTAGAATGTTTTTCCCCAAAGAGGGCCTTTCCTCTTTCTTAATGGATGGAGGCAAGAGGAAGGTGGCAGTTGACCATGTGGGCTTTAGACTCAGCCCTGTGAGAAGCAGGTTCTAGATCTGTTAACTGTGGCCAGGAGGGAAGGAAGGAACCTCTGCTTTCCTCAGTTTGTGCCCTAACCAGAATTAGAGACGTGTGTGTCTGTGGCCAGCAAGCTGGTTTACTGAAAATGCAGCTAAATAAAATGCCCAGTCTTTGGGACCAAGCCTGGACCCATCTGTCAGAGTTCGTTGTGAATCCACGTCCGTCCCCCCTTGACTGATGTTGTACAGTGTTATTAGGTGATTTAATGAAGACCCTGAACTTCCCTGTTCGGAAGAATGACAGAAAAGTGGGATGTTTGGGCCAGTGGCATTTCTTCTCTTTAGATTAAAGCCGGAGGATTTTTCCCTCTGGGTTTGGCATATGTAAAAATGCAGATTCTTTTAGCCCTGTGAAAAGTTCCTATTTAATTATGAGAGATATCTATATTTCTTACACTCTGTAAATCATGGCCAACAGATAGCAAGTGGCTAATTATTATTGCAAATTCGACATAGAACTAGGGAAGTCACTGGGAATTCTATAAAACCTTGTATAATATGATCCAGGGAAACATGACTTTTTCCATAACTAAGTTCAAATGCATTTTAAATATTTATTCTCTGACTCCTGAGGTTTGGGCACCTAGGGATTTTTGAATGCTTTAAAATCCTGCCTTCGGATTCATAGTTATAAGTTTTTCCATCCTCAAGTCTAGTCTTACCCACTTACCTTGAGCTGTCTCTTTGCAGGAAGTGACTGGCAGCTTATCTTTTAGCATTTTGTCTTCATCTGAACATCATCAGGTTTAGCATTCTGAGGGAAATTCCATGCCTCTAATCGCCTGTGTTATTCTGCAAGGGCCTCCTGCAGAATATCTCCTGTCTGACTCACGAGTCTCCAGGTGTCTTTACTTTCTGTCGTCCCCCGTCTCTTTCACAAAGCCAAGCCATCTTGTTAGGCATTGTCTTGAAATAGTTACTGACCCAGGCTAGGATTGGAAAGCCCCCAGTTTCTCTACATTTATGGAAGATTCCAAAGCGCCTTCCAGTTTGGGAGTGGAAAACAGAGAAGGGTACCCCAGGCTAACTTGAATCCTCATCAAGGATCACACCGCCAACTCTTCCTCTTGATTTTGAGCTCATGTTCTTGATCCCAGGCCTGAAACTCTGCCCATCTTAAGTTTCTTTCCCCAGCCACGCTGGAGTAAGCTCACCCACGCCTTGAGTTCACAAGGCCTGTGTCTGCCTCACTTCACCCCAGAGAGCTTCGTGTGTCTTTTTGCAATTCTAAGACTACAAGTGGACAGTACGAGTGTGCAGTCTCGGGTCCTGGGAGTGAAGATCGGGCTGACCAGGAACTAGCACTAATCAGAGAAAGCGAAGCAACTCTTTGGTGGAGCAGAATTTGTTTGGTGTGTGTTGTATCAAGTGCTAGAGTCATGGCTGCCACATCATAGGCACCCAGTCACCGAGAGAATACGTAACCCCACAGTAGGAGGTTAACTACCTGGTTAGGCAGGATTCCAGCGATTATTGATTATGTCACAGTCTTTACTGTCCTGAGCACAGTCCGTCATTATCTCCACATGTGAGATGCTCCTGGCAACCTCCCACAGACAAGATGCCCGTCCATCGGCTCTTCTAGTCCTGGGAATGGTTTGGTTTATTCTAAAGCCTAGCTATATAAACTGTGGGTCATGACCCCGTAGTGAATGTGGGGGTCAGGAAAAGTTTAGCAATGGCAAAAGGTTTCTGATCATGCAACAACCCAAAGTTAATTCCAAATCAAGCACAATAGTTATATTATATACATTAATATAATTACATGTGTAATATGTGCACAGTAGAATTACATTATATACATTATTATACCCCGATTCAGGGGTGTTTCTGACTGTAGTGGCCCATGTTACACTGTGGGATGTCACTGCAGCACTGGTTCTGAACACACATGTGCAATTTGTGCTTGGCATGTCATCACACCACACAGCACCAACCCATGCGGCTGAAGTACCTCAGCTCAGATGAAGGTTACTGTAGCTCAAGAATGTCAGTGTTCCCACTGTATATATAACAATCTCTGCTCTTATAGAAGTAAAAATAAATATGGAAACCAAGACTTTTCATATTTCCCTACTCTAAGTTTTCAGCATCAATGTATCAAATTAGTATGTCGTTGGATTGTGTTGTGCTATATTGTTTAGTCTTACTGACTTGAGTTTCGTTCAAAGAATCCATGGGGGACTCTGGAGATGGCCCAGCCAGGAAAGTACTTGCTGCACAACCATGAGGACCAGAGTTTGACCCCCAGCACCTGTAGAGGCTGGGGTTCCTGGGGAGGTAGAGACAGAAAGGTCCTTGACGCTTGCTGGCCAACTAGTACAACTGAAGCGACAAGCTCTAGGTCCAATGAGAGACTTTCTCAAAAAAATTATACTAACCTATAGGGCTGGAAAGATGTGTCAAGAGCATAGGCTCCTCTTGCAGAGGAGCTGAGCTCAAAGTGCGTCACAGCTGTCGCGAATCCTGTGCCTTCCGCCTCTCCAGGAAACTGCACTCATGCATATACTCCACCCTCGTCACACACGTGCGTGCACGCGCGCACACACACACACACACACACACACACACGGAATTTAAAAATAATTAAAATAAATCTTAGAAACATTAAAGCAGAGGGTGACTGAGGAAGATACCTAAGTCAGCCTCTGGCCTCCACACGTGAGCATGTGTGCTCCCCACTGTATGAACACATGTGCACATACAGATCCTTAAATAAATTTTAGCTTGGAGTTAGGACAGAATATACAACATTTTTTTTCCAGAAAGAGCTCTAAAAATAATTTTGCCACCTTGTACTACATATTTATGCACATGGCGGTCTCATTATTGACAAGTATAAAAATCAAAATATCTATTAACTCTGAAAGTCATTCAAGATACTTTCTACCTCGTGGAATCAAGTACTCAACCAAGATTTCATTTTTTAGGTAAAATTAAGCAGGCATAGCTATCTCGTTAGTATGCAAATTTACTTTTATCTTTACTAAGTGGTAACATTGCTTATGTGTCAAAGAATTGATGTGAAATATTATATTATCAGTAAACAGTATCCGTCAATGCTTGATTTGTGTACTTGTTTTATGTGCCTGTGTGTATACCCTGGGATCATAGACAATCTCTTGGGCTGAAAGGAGTTTTGGGGAGGACAAAAGGCTTGAGCAGCCCAGTTCTGGAGCATCACACCTCACACCTGGATTCCCCCTGGCACACTAGTGGTTGGTGTGCAACTTTGGCTTTTAGTGTCTTGGTGGACACAGTCCTTGGAGAAGTGGGCCTCTAATTCCCGGTAGAAGGGGATTCATCCTGGAGGGGGCGTGGCTACAGGTATCCCTCAAGCAGGGAAGAGGCCAATCTGTGTCCTATGGGGGGGGGTCTCATGCCAGGTGGGGGA